GGGCTGCTGAATAGGGCTGGGCTAATAAATAAGGGGTGCTCTAAGAAGGGTAGGGTGTCATTAGCAGCTCCATGGGACATTGGAGACCCGGGTCCGAGAAGTTGTAAGCCCGCAGCCTCAGGAAAACAAAAAACAACAATCTCTGTGTTATAAGATGTATCAATGGGACGCTGGACCCGGTTTCCAGCAGGTGCGGCTCCCCAACAATAGATGGAGCAGCCCGACAGAGAAACCCTCAATCCTGACGGTTCTCTTACCACCGCCGGGATAGACAGTTTTACACAAGGGCTATTCGAAGAAGGAAAAAAAAAAAAGAAAAAAAAAAAGGAGGAGGATTACCTCTCTGGTTTACTCCTCCTATTAGGAGGATTACCTGTCTGGCTCACTGTCTGCTTGCTCAGTGGTTTGGTTTTAATGTTTTCCTGGTTTAAAAATACTACTATCCACTGCCAAAAAAAAAAAAAAAAAAAAAAAAAAAAAAAAAAAAAAAAAAAAAACACTTTCTGAGCTGACTGGAATTGGCTAGAGACAATTATCTTGCTTGACAACTTGACACCATGTCCCATGTTGCCTTGCCTTGCCTTGACTTAACTAGACTCACTAGAGCTGTCTTTTGTTGCCCTGGATGGACTTTGACCTGTCGCATTGACTTCGACGGTTTGACCCCTCTTGGGTGCCAATTTGTTGTTTTGTGTGGGTTGTAATGCTGTGGCCACTGTTATCAGCTTGGGAGGTTGATTTACCTGTTCTACGTTTCGAAGCTATACGAGTTTGTGGATACCGTAAGTCGTCATACAAGCTGATATAACCGCAACCACATGTCCTCATCTGTGGATAAGACCCCCCTACAATCCCCTTTGTAACCCCCCCCTGCATACCATTGCGTTTATGTGTGGATAAGCTCCCTCCACCAGCTACCCACCTACCTCTCCTCATCCTTCCCCCTATGTGGGAAAAGGTCTTCCTCCCTAAATAAACAACTTTGCATCAGCAAATCCTAAAATACGCTCTCGATCAATCAAAAGAAAAAAAAAAAAAAAAAAAAAAAAAGGAAAACATCTAGGCTATGCAGAAAAATAAACTGAACAACTTTTGCCTCAGGGTCACATCGAAATTCTTAACCAAAGTGGCAGATACTGTGACACGATTGGCAGCATCACTTCCAGCTTTCTGGAAGCAGTTAATGGATCTGGCGGTAATGAAGCATTCAAGTCTGCTTTGGTTGTTGATGCACCTGGCATTGCCGGTTAATACTTGGTGTGCCAAAAGAACTGTGAAGGCGGCACCGGAATGTCAGTTGTGCCCGGGGACCCGGATGGAAGACATCCAACACTTTGTGTTACAGTGCGAGCTTTCAAGGCCATTTTGGGAATGGTGGAGACTATCAGGTGTGCCAATCCCGGGGGCGAATTCCCGTTGGGAGGATAAAAGAAAAAAAAGAAAAGAAAAACAGAGAAAACTAAAAAAAATGATCTCCCATGCACTTTTCACTGTTTTCAGGGTTGAGGGGGTTAACTGGGGCTGAAAAGTGGGGGTCCCTGTTAACCGCTTATGGCATGGGGGAGGCAGGCGGAGGAGACAACCAGGGCAAGCCAGGGAGACAAAGGGCGGCGAGGCAAAAGGCAGTGATGCAAAAGGCCACAAGCCAAAAGGCCACAAGGCAAAAGGCAGCGAGCCCAAAAAACAGTGAATCAAAAGGCATCCAGGCCAAAATAGTGCGGAAAGACAAGGCAAGTAGTGGATGGGCAGCAAGGCAAGCATAGACAAGGAATTCTGCAAAGCCAGCACGGACTAGTACTCACACCACAAGATGGACACCGCAGACTGTTGGTTCTTACCCCCCTCGCAGCCACCACTCCAATGAAAGTCCGTCATCACCCATGGAACATGCACCCACAGACACCCCCCTAAGAGAGCAGCCACTCCAATAATAGGCTTGAACATGCACCCACAGACACCCCCCTAAGAGAGCAGCCACGAACCATAATTATAGGCTTCCAGGCATTCCGAACAAACCGGCATTGACGATTAGGCGCTTCGTAGAGGTGCTGACTTAGAAACACCAACAGTACTTCAGATTCTTTAGAGAGAGAAAAAAGATCGGAAAGAAAATTTTCAAAAATATGCATACGTATGATTGTGTTGTGTTGTGATGTTTGCTGTACACTACTCGCTCCCCTCCTCCCCCCCCCCCACACCACGCACACCACACACACCACACACACCACACACACACACACACACACACACACACACAAAAAAAAAAAAAAAAAAAAAAAAAAAAGCATGACTGTGCCAGACTGTTTCATTGGACTTTCACTGACTCATCAGGAGGTTGAAACCGGACCGTCTGGTCAGGATCGATTTGACGGATGGATGGATAAGGAAAAACTCACCACGTAACCCAGAGTTAGTGACACCCCTGTGAGAGAAAAAGTGGTTGACTTTACGTGCACTAACCCTGACATCCTAGCAGACTGTTGTTTGTTCAAACCCCTGACAAGAATGGCACCGACTCTGAGAAATCAATCTGTCACAGCCAGAAAACCCACTACTTCACACACCCGCTCACTCGCTCGGCCATGAATACTCGCTGGCGAAACGGTCCCGGAGCTAGCGGTCCCAGCGCTAGCGGTTCCAGCGCTAGCTGCATGGATCCACCGGAACGAAGAGCTTAGCAAGGCCGTGTTGTGTGTTGTCATGTATGGTAGACAACTCCACCCAAAAAAAAAAGAAGCATAACTGTGTCCACAAAGTACGCATGACTATGCCAGACTGTTTTGTCGTCGTCGGAGATTCACCTACTGATCAGGAGGTCGAACCTTTACAGACTGTCTGCCCAGGATGCATTTGCCTGATGGACAAAGAAGACTCACCACGTCACCCAGAGTTAGCAATACCCACACTGACTCGAGAGAGAAAAACGTGGTTGACTTTACTCACGTCAACCCATGATTGTGTATCTGTGCCGTTGTGTGTGTGTGTGTGTGTGTGTGTGTGTGTGTGTGTGTGTGTGTGTGTGTGTGTGTGTGTGTGTGTGTATGTGCACATGTGTGCTCAATCAAGTTTCAATCAAGTTCAATATTCATTCATTCATACTCCAGGAGAATCTGCTATGAATCCCCGCGTCATTTGCCGTACCCCAGTTCATTCAACATTTTCTGGGGTACTGCAAAGTACGTCACCCATTGACTATGGAGGATAAATTTTCTGGGAGAGAAATGAAACAGTTATCACTCTCTCTCCCATTGAATTATGCAGGACAATTTTTCTATATCTTACACTGAAAGTACTATTCCCGAAGGTTCATTCACATAGGGAGCCTGTAGGATTATTTCAGCAAAACCCGGTTCATTGAACTTCATTCAACATATGAGGGAGGGTATGCCCGTGGAGAACACAGGGGTTGTGACAGACTGTTTTGTCAGACTTGCACCGGCTCTTCAGGAGGCTGAACCCTCGACAGTCTGCAGAGTCCCCTGAAAATGTGCACTGGGGCATAGCCAGCCAAACCCTGTTCCCAAGTGGGCGAACACAGCAGCAATGTGTGAAGCACAACATGGACAGGGCAACCTATAGCAAGGCATAGCGCGCGGGCAGACAGGGAGGTGGCCAGACAGGGAGGTGGCCGGGCAAGCTGAAACGCAGCAAGGCGCACAGCACGGTGTGGGTTAACCAGCATATATAGCAAGGCAACTAGACGCGCAGACAGGCGGGAGGGGCAGGCACACGACAACACAGCTAGGCACAGAACATGGTATACACTGGGCCTGCGCCTTCTGCAGGCTTCTGGACCTGCGTACAGGGATTGTTGTCGGGGATCGAGATTTCATTTTGTATCATATGTGATTCAATCATATCACCAATGACACTGTTTCCGTATCTGAGTACAGTCGTGTTATCTCATGAATTGTTTACTTGACTTCATAATCCTCATAATCATATATTGGGCAGCATATAGCAAGGCCAGTGACCGGGTACGTGGATCGACGGGCGGTCAGGCACACGGCAACACAGCAAGGCATTTAGGAAGGTAGACAGGACAACAGCATCAACATAGGAACCTGTGGACACAGCGAGGATCAAAGCGGACTATCACCATATGCTCATTATACGGAAAAGCCTGCAGACGGTAGGTTCACGCCACGATCCACAGGCATCCAGATCCAAGTAGCCACAAGCTGAATCTGTCGCCACCAAGAGACACACTGTCAGACACACAGGCATCGCAAACACAGCAGGCCCCATAATGTCCTTAGGGACATCTGTTAAAATTGGAACGATACAGAGAAAATTCCCACGGCCTTTGTCGCAAGGATGACACACATAAATCGAGAAAAGGTCCTAATGTTTTTTTTTTTTTGGGGGGGGGGGGAATGCAGCGGCCCCCATAACAGTGTTCCAGGCACCTCGAACAAGCAGGCACTGACTGTTTGGCACATCGTGAAGGTCCTGCATCTAGATACAGGAGAACACAAGAAAAGGCCAGAACACGCACAAAACTGGGCAGCACATGTAGAAGAAGAGGAAGAAAAGAAGTGATACATAATACGATTGTGTGTGTGTGTGTGTGTGTGTGTGTGTGTGTGTGTGTGTGTGTGTGTGTGTGTGTGTGTGTGTGTGTGTGTGTGTGTGTGTGTGAAAAAGAATGGATGAAATGAGTAGAGTGATTGGTAGGAGCAAAGCTGTTCACGGGGCCACTGTTCATGCCTTTTTAAGTTTTTAACATGTGCAGCTCGTGTTGCTGCAGCTTATAATGCTCCTCAAGAGAAACCTGTGGCAAGTGTCCTTCCTCCACGTGTATCATCATGGGACGATTTCATTGGTCTGGTGGATCATGTGCTACCGATGTCCTGGA